TAAGATAAACCTGTAAATGGCCAATTATCTACTATGGATTCTTTAAGGGAAACTTGGTTATACATTCTTCTTTGGAATTTCAGATAACATTAATTTAGTGATGTAGTCTAGATATTTTTTATTCAAATGATGACTTCACTACCAACTAGCCGGCCACAGGAAGAAATGTTATCTTAAGACATATACATTCTTTGCACATCAGAAATTAATATTCTCTACCAGGTGATAAATGAAGAGTAGTGGTGGCAGAATGAAGAAAGTTGGTGGCATGGCATTAGGTAGAAAGACTTTCAAAACGTGAGGGGCGCCTGGGTGGCTCAGTTGGTTAAATGTCTGCTTTCAGCTCCGCTAATGATCCCAGGGTCCTGGGGTCAAGCCCCGGGTCAGGCTCCCTGCTCAGTGGGGAGCCTCCTTCTCCCTCTCCCTCTGCCCCTCCCCCTGCTTGTGTTCCCTCTCTCACTCTGCTCTTTCTCTCAAATAAATAAATAAAATATTTAAAACAATGCATAGTGAGCAAGGATCATCATCCATACAGTTGCAATCCCTGTCTCTACCTGCCCCGTCTCCAGATACCACACAGAAGCTCCTGGAACTGGGTCACAGCTGTCCCTTGGCCCCTCTATGGCCCCAATGGGACTTCCTTAAACCCAGTAGGGACCTAGGTGAAGTGAATGTCAGGTCCCTCATGATGTTACCTTGCTAATATATATCCATGGTGGCTTAGAGTTAACTCCATACACTCTTTTAACATTCTTTAGTGAAAACTCGACCTGTCCATTGCTGTGCACATTGATGCCCAGTTAGCATGAGTGCCCTCAGCCCAGGACCAGCCTGTGCAGCTGGCCCCACATCTCTACTTCTGTCCACTGTCCACCTGGCCTCGGGTGCTGCCTCATCTCCTCCCTCTGTCCACCTCCCCCTCCCTCTATCTACCTCCGCCCTCTATCTACCTCCTCCCTCTATCTACCTCCTCCTCCCTCTGTCCACCTCCTCCTCCCTCTGTCCACCTCCTCCTCCCTCTATCTACCTCCTCCCTCTGTCTACCTCCTCCCTCTGTCCACCTCCTCCTCCCTCTGTCCACCTCCTCCTCCCTCTGTCCACCTCCTCCTCCCTCTATCTACCTCCGCCCTCTATCTACCTCCTCCCTCTATCTCCCTCCTCCCTCTATCTACCTCCCCCTCCCTCTGTCCACCTCCTCCTCCCTCTGTCCACCTCCCCCTCCCTCTATCTACCTCCTCCCTCTATCTACCTCCCCCTCCCTCTGTCCACCTCCTCCTCCCTCTGTCCACCTCCCCCTCCCTCTATCTACCTCCTCCCTTTATCTACCTCCTCTGTCTGTCTACCTCCTCCCTCTGTCCACCCCCTCCCTCTGACCACTGTCTACACTTGCTGTGGGTGATGTTGAGCTCTGGGGAGGGGCAGGGTGTCTGACCTTTGCCACTATTACTATACTGAGTCTTTATTCTGCAGGCTGTCCTGCTCAGGGAGCCCGTGGAAGCTGACAATGGGTTGTCTGTACCACTGGGGACCAAGCGCCAGAGAGGTGGTCCTGTCATGGGTGCCCACAGGGGAGGCCTCCCAGGGGGTCCAGACAGCACACGGTGCAGGATTTGATGAAATAAATACTCCCTCTCCTCTTTCTTAGTCATCTAACTGCAGAAAATAAAAGTTTCCAGCTTCTTCTTAGGTCAAATATTTATTTTGCGCATGATAAATGAGTTCAGCCGTATTATAGCCTTATCCATACATCGACTCCTCCCACCGGCAGATTGCTCGGCATCTTAATGACTGTGACTCGTCTGGTTTAGAAAGACCTTCTCAGTCTGGCTGGTGTGAAACTTATTTAAAACCCTAGAACCTGCAGTCTTTCTCTTAAGCAAAAAGGGGAGTTCCAGACAATCTTGCTGGTTGTATTTATAGCATTTTATTTCCTGAGAGAAGACAAGAAAAGCGAGTGCTTGCTCTCCCCTCTTGCGAGGCTCCTCCTCTGCCGTCCCCAGCTGGAGGGCTGGCCGGAGTGGGGCGGCACCAGCACCCGTGTGCCAGGTGCTCAGAGCGAATGCGAGATCGGAGGGGGATTATGTCACTCCTTCGAAGGATGAATTAAATGTGCTTCCTCCCATGTTTGACTGACAGCACCACCCAGGAGAGCAGAGCATATAAAGCAGCGGCTGCTGCCGGGCGGCCAGTGCGGTGCCGACCCCAGCTCGTCTGCAGGGAGGGCTGAGCCTCCTGCACGCCACAGACCTGGCCCTCTGGACTCGGCCCCCAGCACCGCCTCAGCAGCCTCACGTGCCAGGTAAGAACTTTATACAATTATTAAAAAGTCATTGCATTGTACTTTTAATTTTTGGAAACAGCTGTTTTGGTTTCTAAGAAGGGAGCAGGAAAAAGTGCCACATAGATTGATAATGTGAGGTGGGGCTCATCTGCGACCCCGTCTCCCCTCTGCGAGCAGAGCTGACGTGAGCCAGCCCCGGGGAAGCGTTCTGTCCATGGGGCTCGTGCGGGGAGCTTCCTTGGCGGTCGTCCTGTCTGGCGGTCCTTGCCACGCTCACGCATGTACCTGCCTGCAAGCCCGGGCACAGGCTCGTGTTTTCAGCCACAGGGTAAGAAGCTCCCATAGTAGCATTTGTCGTGGACGGGGGACCATGTGGGAGGCGTTCCAGAAAAATCCTCCTGAGAGAGTGAAAACACGATCAGAGAGATTATAGAGGCTCCAACTCTAAACATTACTAATAGCTCAGAAGCGTCTTGAGTGTTATTAATGAATAATGGACCAAGTGGGTGAAGACCCTGGAATCCAGCTGTGGTCGCAAGTGGTGGCCGGTCTGCACAAGAAAGTCCAGCCTGGGCGTCCCTGCAGGAGGCTGCTGTGTGGCCGGGGTGGGAGGTGCTCCTACGAGGCTCAGGGTGGGGGGTGCTCCTACGAGGCTTGGGGTGGGGGGTGCTCCTACGAGGCTCGGGGTGGGGGGTGCTCCTACGAGGCTCGGGGTGGGGGGTGCTCCTACGCGATCCTGTCCCTCCTGACAGACGAAACTAGAGTTCACTCAGGAAAGTTATTGCCGCTTTGATTGCTGATATAAAAGAATTGTAAAAGATCTTTATGAGTTCTAATTGCATTCTGCTGCAGAAAGTCTTTGAAAGTCTTTCTTTGGAAAAAATAGAGCCGTAAACACATGGAGAGTGTGTGGAAGTCAAGTGCCCAGCGAGGACAGCGTGCGTCCATGTGTCTGTACCGCGTGTTGTCTGGGACACAGCACGTAGTAAGTGGAGCGACTGTCTCGGTCAATCCTGGTCTTGTCGTGACCCCGTGAGACCAGATGTGACCCCCTCACTCATTTGGCCAGAGTGCCAACACCCGTTGACACTCCTCTTTTGGGGAGCAGAGGTTTGGTTTGGTTAGTAACAGAGTTCGAGTTACTCTGGTTAAGTCGACACTCAGGAAGCTGGGCATCCAGACCCCGAAAAAGTGCATTTTGGAGGGAGCCCACCTTTGCCAGAGCCAGCCGTCACCCTGTGTCTGCAGGGGACGGACAGCACACATCTGGTCGAGGGGACACGGGGGGCATTCCTGATACGCTCACCACTGTTGACACTGAGACCACTTACGGGCGCTCACTGAGTGCCAGGTGTCATTCTGAGTTCCCTAGAGCGCTTCCTCGGGACCTCAGCCCTTCGAGCACCCGGATAGCGGCATCCCTACTGCGCTGGAAAGTCATGGAAAGAGTGGTCTGGGGGACAGTCGTGCAGGGCGTTCAGCAAACGCCTGAGCCCGCCGTGCTGCTCCCGCCCTTTACAGTACGGACTCACTTAGCTCAGTTCTCCCCGTGACCCTGTGAGTGGACGCTTCAAACGACTGTTCTTCATTCGGCAGGTGACGAAGCTGAGGTGGGAGGTTGAGTAGGCCGTCCTTGGTGGCACGGCCTTGAGCCCGCTGTGGTCCGTCTCCTCGAAATGCGCCGCTGGAAAACAACCAGGCCCGTGGACGTGTTTGTGGAGAGGTTGCATGCAGCAGAGTCCAGACTCCAGAGGGGCCCGAGGGGCCTGCACAGCAGCCTCTACTCCTGGGGGACACTCCTCCCTCCCAGGAACACGACTGCTTCCAGTTCACCAGATCCTTCTGGAGAGGGGGCTGCTTGGCTTCCTTCAGTCCTGAGCTGCTCAGGAGCTTTGCTCTCCTCCTAGGGGAGGGGATGGGGTCTCAGCGCTGGCTTGGATCCAGAGCAGGAAGCAGCCTACTGCTGGGAGGGAGCTCTGTGTCCCACATGCCGGCATGCGAGGCTGGTGCTGGAGCACCAAGGCCGAGCAGGGGTTAAGAGCGGAGCGGGCTTCTGTCCAGCTCTCCTGAGTTCTGGCCCAGCATCTGCTGGTCTGAACCACGCCAACTGAAAATCTTCAAGAATGGAAAAACAGGCCTGCAGGAAAAGAGAAGAGCCGAGTAAAAGTGATTGCTAAGTAGAATGCTATGTTTTTTTGTGGTTATGATACACCAAATTAAATTTACTTCTCCTGCACACAGTTAATATTTATTCTATTTAAGTCATGCACAAATTTTGTTTTCTTGGCTATTTACTTTCGTAGATGATTTTCTAAATAATGCTGATGCTTTTCTAAATTCATGCTTCCTGGGTTTAAGTCTCGACTGCACTTCCCACCAGCAGCGTTGCTCTGGGCAAGCACTTAACTCTTCTGATTCTTCATTTACCCGTCTGTAAAATGGGCATGATAATAATAGTATTTGCCTCCTAGGTCACTATGAGGATCAAATAATGTGAATACTGAGATCGTGATTAGCATAGTGCTTTGTCAACACATGCAACTCCAATAAAAGCCAGCTACAGTCAGGAAGCCCCCTTTGAAAAGCTAATTTCTTATCTAGCATTTACTTCCCACAAATCCACTTGTTTTTGATTCTGATGCACAAACAGTTCATGTGAGTGAACATTCCAGCTGACGTGGAAAGTTGCTGCTGTGTGTACCTGTAACAGGGGTCTGATTCCTCCATAGGGTTCGGCGGTGGACGGCAGGATGCTCTGGACGCTGGTGCTGCTCGCCCTCTGGGCCTTGTCTGGTGCGCAAGGTGAGTGTGGACAGCATCTCTGGTTGTTGGGACTATCGGGCCCCAGCAGGTAACGTGATTGTCGTTCCTTAGAACATCCGGAACTTTCTTTTCAATAAATATTTACTTACTTTTGAGTCCACATAATAAGAAATTACTTATTTTTGGAAAATCTAGGTATTAGAGAAAAATACTCTTTCACCTAGAGACACAACATTTGCCGTGCACATTTAGCCTTTTTTTTCACATGCTGCATTTGTAAAACTGCAGGTGGTTGGTGCTTTAGAACTCTTTTATTCCCACTTTTTCCCTACTTGAAAATATATCATAAAATTTTCCCATGTGTTTATTTTCATACAACATGGTCTTTAAGGACTGTATAATGTTCCATCAAAAGATAACCCTGATAATTTTTAGACCAATCTCCATCTACATCATTACTTTATTATTGTGAGTATAAATGATGCCACCAGGAATCCAGTTGTGAATAAATCTCTACTAGTATTTGTGTTTATATCCTTAGAAAAAGTTCCAAAAGTAAAATTGCTGAGTCAAAGGTTTGAATTATTTTAAGGATTTTTGATGTATTGCCAAATGGCTCTATTAAAGGTGGTAGAATTCACACTTGGATCAGCAACATTGTGAATACAATGTTTGAACTTGCCTCGCTTAAAATTTCTGTTCAGTAAATTATTTTGAATTATTTAAACTGTTGTATTTTGGGATAGTCCGATCACTTTTCTTTCCAGTCATTCAGATGGTGAGTTAAAACCATTGATTTGCAGACTTGAGACCCACCACTGTCTCAGAGTCTCAGAGCGAGTCACTGAGACTCGCAGAATATACTTCTGCAAAATAAAGAGATACAATGTAACATGTGTAAGTCACATGATCTTTATAGGAAAGCAACATGTAATGCATCCATAGCAAGGACAGAGGCCCGTTTCCTTTGCAGGCTTGTTTTCTGGGCGATCAAATGGTAGAGACAGGGCCGCACTTAAGGTTTGGATCTGGGTGGGAGAGCAGGAGACGGATTCCGGAAGGTGTGCGGAGCCCCCCTTGGGGCAGTGCTTCCTCTCCCAAGAAAATCTGGCTGTGGAGAACGCCAGCTAATCTAGACAACGTGCTCGGTTTACCTTCTGGTGCACGCTCCCCGCACAGTCAAGGATGGAAGCAAGATCTGTGACCAGCAGCTGTCTTGGGGGCCCTGCTTCGGGAAGCAGCCAGGAGAGAGAGGATAATGGTTTTACGTGAAAGCTGCCATTAGCACCCCGGTGGAAAGGGAGGGGAGCCCGGGGACACCCGAGGCCGGATGGACTCAGTCACACATGAAATCACGGTTTGCTCCCTGCGTGTAAAAATCCCCCCCTGGGTTCCTGCTCGCCCTGCCTGCGGGTAACCTCCCTGTTCTGTCCCTGCCGGCAGCTGGTGGCCAGGACGAAGACATGGCCTTCGACCTTTTCAGCATCAGCAACATAAACAGGAAGACCATCGGGGCCAAGCAGTTCCGGGGGCCTGACCCCAGTGTGCCTGCCTATCGCTTTGTCCGCTTTGACTACATTCCGCCGGTGAACGCAGATTACCTCAGCAGGATTGCCAAGATCATGCGGCAAAAGGAGGGGTTCTTTCTCTCGGCCAGCCTGAAGCAGGACCCCAAGTCCCGGGGCACGCTCCTGGCTCTGGAGGGCCCCGGCACCTCCCAGAGGCAATTCGAAATTGTCTCCAATGGCCCAGCAGACACGCTGGACCTTACCTACTGGATAGATGGCACCCAGCACGTCATCTCCCTGGAGGACGTGGGCCTGGCTGACTCCCAGTGGAAGAACGTCACCGTGCAGGTGACCGGGGAGACCTACAGCTTGTACGTGGGCTGTGACCTGATCGACAGCTTCACGCTGGACGAGCCTTTCTATGAGCAGCTCCGGACAGAAAAGAGCAGGATGTATGTGGCCAAGGGCTCTTCGCGAGACAGTCACTTCAGGGTACGTACGGCAGGGTCCCGGCAGACGCGTGAGGCAGGGGAATGGGAGCTGGGAGTGACCAGCAAGGGCCTGTCTTAACGTGATGCCCGTGCTGGAACAGGTCAGGCCTGGGCTGGGAGACACATGCCACCCTGTGCGGATGCACAGAGACATGCACACAGAAACGTCACATGTGCATACGCACACACAACCACACACGTACATATGCACAGGTGTGTGTACAAGGAGAGCACATTGTCCCAGGTGTGCTTTCTTACCCTGTGCAAATGGTTATTGGTTTCCAGACTGAAGACAGATTTAATGACCAAGGCATCAATGTCCTGGCAAAATCCCAGGCTCCATATGTGGAATCCACTGCCCGCTCCCCGTTTAACACTGAGATGCTGGGGGAGCAGATTGATGGTCATGCTTTTTAGGAAAAGGGCTGTTGATTTATGAGGGGATAGCTACATGTTCATCTTAAAATACATTCATGTTGAAGTAGTTTTTGGAAGATCTTCCTACAACCACAAGTGTTTAGAACCACAGGGGAGTCAGGGCGTTGCTCTCCTCCAAATCTGCCTTCTTTGGAAATCAGTGTGTCTTTAAATTCAGTTCTTTGAGTAGAAGGCTAGAGTCCTCACCGGTCGTTGAACGAGGCTCTGGTGGCTGTCAGGAAGGTCCTGTGGGCCCTGCTGAACGAGCCACTGACTGCTCACGGGGTGGAAGGGACTCTCCCCTTTGAGAGACCACGTCTGTGATTAGACCATGGGCACTTCCGAGACCGTTAGCCAGACACCAGGAGTCAGCAGAGTCCCCTGCCAAGGAGGTGCAGCCCAGAGCAAGTGACCGGACGTGTTTGGAAGACAGAATTAGCCCATGTGTCTTGGGGCCACCCTCCCCCCGTCTTCCTATGTAAGATCCTGGGTCTATGCCGCACTGAGAGTAACGGACACGGGATAACCCACGATAAAGAGCTCAAGCCTGCAAGCATAAAACACAGAAGGAAATGTTCTTGCTATTTAAACATCTTACATTTTTAAAATGTCACTTAGCTCAGCCTCAAACATTTGATGTTTGTCCACTGCTCTATTTCTCTCTTCATGTGTATTTCCAGGGTTTGCTGCAGAATGTCTACTTAGTGTTTGAAAATTCAGTGGAAGATGTTCTGAGCAAGAAAGGCTGTCAGCAAAGTCAGGGAGGTAGGTGTGCTTTGGATAACATATTTCATGTTTCCTTTCTTGTCTTGGATGGATTTCTACTATGATGTGTGTGCGTTGTGTAAGTGTGTGTCACTGTGTGTGTGTGCATGGGGGGTGCTAGTAGGGATTTAAGAAAAAGTATTCTAATAAAGTGCCATTATTGTCTTTGAGTGAGTTTGCTGGTCACCTTAGACATGTTGACACCTGGAAATGATAAACTGCTTGAACGATTAATTTTGAATATATTTTAATAATCCAAAATAATCCATTTTACAAGCCAAAAAGCCAATCCTTGCATTTTAACAGGAATACATGCAAATTTTCCAGTCTATTAATGTGTGAAGACCATCTCTATAAGCTAACACCACAGATATTTGCCCGACTAGGTTCATGGGGGTTTTCTCATGCTCTTCACAGCTGTTGACAAAGCCCATTGATGAAAACATCTACACTGTTGGAACCATTGACAGATAATCTCACATTGTGTGTTCATTACCTTTTGCATTTGTCTCCAGCTGTAATTTGACAACATGCTCTTGAGCATTTACTTTATGAAGCCCAGTCTGCTGGCCTCTTTAAACTCAATGTCAGTGAATCTTCAAAATGCCTCTGGGATGGGCTCGTTTGTTTTTCAGTAAAGAAGCTGGGGCTCCGGGGTCCATGGCTGCTGGGTGTGGCTACCCGCAGGCTGGCCGCCCACCCGGTCTCCTAGCGCAGGTTCCTGTGGGTTATTGTCATTGAGACCCTTCTTTGTGTCGACTGCATGGTCTGACACATATAAATCATTCTCTTACAATCGACGTGTGGAGAGTGTGTAGGATGTGATGTCTAATGCTCGCCGGTGGCTCTGTGAACCGGACTCCCCGGAGCTGGGAGTGGCACTCGGCCTGTGTAGGAGCTGGGACCCCGTGTGTTTGCCCTGCTGGCCCTAGGCTCGCCGCTCGGCCAGCCGGGGGTCACCTCGGAGGCTGAGCACCTGTCCATCTGCACATCTTCCATGGAGGGTCAGTTAAGTACAGGGAAGGAAAGGAATTCGGAGAGTGATTTTTAGCCAGACGGTGGAGTGGAGAGAGGTAACAGTGCTTGCCCCCGTCACACAGGCTCCTGCTGCAAGCCCCTTGTTTGCAGTAGCCGCTGGGGCTCAGACCTCACCCCCTGCGTCTCCAGCCCGGCTAACAGGCCAACTGTTGGTCCCTGTGATTTAAGCCATTGCCTTTTTTGGGGGGAATGTGGTCTTTAAAAAGCAAAAAGTTCAGAAAAAGCTAGGATAGTAAACGGACATCTGACATTAACTGCGTGGGAGAATTCCACAGACTCAGAGAAAGCAGAGTGGTTCTCGGGATGCCCTGACTCGAGGTGGCTGTGCTTGTGTTTACGGGAAAGCTGAGCACCCTTCCAGGTGCTGAGCCCTGCAGGGTGCAGAGACACTTCACCCTCGACAGCAGGAGAAGGGGACTGCAGTCCGGGTCCCAGGTCTACCCACAGGCGACCCTGCCGTGAGTCTCGTCAGAGGGATCGGGTGCTGTGACTGTAGGGTGTCCCGTCCTGATTTGCTTCTCTGGGGTCTGTCCGAAATCAGGCGGCTGTGGGCCGTGGGGCACATTTGTGGGTGCTTCACTGTTTTTAATCTGATACCTGTGTGCAGTGAGTGGTATGTTTATGTTTGTGGGGTGTGCACCGCCGTCCAACCAGCAAGGCGGGGGGAGCTCCCAAGGCCAGTGTGATTGGGGCAAGGATTTATGACCGAGTAATAAAACCTCAACAGCGCGAGGCCCAGCAGAATGATCGTGTTAGCAAGGTGTAACTCAGACGCCGAGAGACGCAGGGCATCTTACTCCCATGACCCTCACGTGGCGGGGGGCATGGCCATGTCTAGGCAGGCCTGGCTTCCACGGGGGATGGCCTCTCTCCCTGGACCGGCCCAAGTCTGTTTCCAGTTTGTGTCCCAGCCCATCCCGTGGTGGGAACCCCAGAGTTTGTGCGGCCTACAGGGGCAGCGAGGGGGATCCCCTGGGTGAGTGTGGGAGGGGTCTGCCCTTCCCTCCAGGGGACGCCGCAGGGTAGACAGAGAGAGAACGTGAGTGCGGGGGGGGCTGGTGAGGTCGGACAAGCCCCTGATTAGCGTGAGGACCGCTGAATCCGCCTCGACGCGGAGCAAGTGGCCAGCACATAGGGTGTTTGGAATAGAAAAATGGGCAAGCGAGGAGCTTGGGGGGAGCCGCGGATTTCCTGAGTACTGTTGTGGGAAGCAGATCCAGTGGGGATGGAAGAATGCAGCTGTCACCGGAGATGGCCTCCTCTCGTCGGAGTCCCTCGCGGGGCACCGCTCCGCCCGGTGTGGGTGGACAGTCTCCAGGCCCAGCCTCCCACTCCCACCCTGTTCCTGAGCGTCACTGCCGCCCGGCTGGTGGCCGTCCGAGGCGCTGTTGGCAGGTGTCACCAAGTGGGCAGAGTCCTGTTTTACCAGCAAGGCCGTGATGGACGCGGTGCTGGCACTCGCCGTTCCTGGGCGGGCCTCGCGCCTGCGCGGTGTGGGCCCGGCCTTCTCTGTGGCACCACCTCCGGGTGGCCAGGCTGCGCTCACCGCCGTCCCTGTGCTTCCTGCAGCTGAAGCCAATGCCATCAGTGAGACCACAGAGACTCTGCACCTGAGCCCGCAGGTGGCCCCCGAGTACGCGGGTCCGGGCGCACACAGGAGGCCGGAGGTGTGTGAGCGCTCCTGTGAGGAGCTGGGCACCATGATCACCGAGCTGTCGGGGCTGCACGTCATCGTCAATGAGCTGCACGAGAACCTGCGGAAAGTGGTGGGTGCAGGCCGGCCGCTTCCCGTGGCATTGGTGGAGCCGCCGGGCAGGGAGATGGGCAGGTGGGGGGCAGAGAACTCTGAATCACCAAGGCCCACGGGCTCCACATGCTCGGGATGGTTCTCAAGCAGGGGACGCTCGTGTCCCCAGCAGATACGACTGCTGAGGGAGAGGGAGGTGCTTTTTTGTAAAGTCTGGTGTGGGGAGGACCGGCTGCGGAGGTCTGGGCAGTAAGGACAGGGGCAGGAGGTACCTGCCAGGAGCCCAGCATATCAGGGAGGAAGCAGAGACTTGGGTGACGGGAGCCAGCCCCCATGTGATGTGCCCTCTGCGGGCTCAGGACAGGAACATCGTGGCACCCATGAGAAGGGAGAGAGGCAGCAGGGAGGACGGCCCGGGGGGTCTGCAGGTCTGGGGTCTCCTCCTGGCCTGGAGAGCGGCTCAGCGGTGGGGTGGTGCCCGTTCCCACCCTCTGCCCCCCAGGAAAGGACCCGGAGCCACGTTCCTACCCTGGCCCAGGATGGGGTGGGACCGGCTCAGTTTCCACTCCGTGGGGGGTAGAGACAACATGCATGGCTCCAGCAGCTCGTGGCAAAGGCTGGGCGCCTTCTGGAAACTTCCAGCGTGTATGTGGCCCTGGTGCAGGAGGGGGCAGGAGTCCCAACCACGCCCACCATGTGCGGGGCAGGAAGCTGGGACTCGGAGGCAGGAGGCCTGTTTTGTGGGCACTCTTGCCACGCAAGGGGAGGGTGTTCCCCGGGGCCTCTGGAGGCCTCGCTGCAGCAGACCCGGGAGTCACTCAGGCAGGAGGGGATGAAAAGGGCTTTGGGACAAGTTTGTTGAGCTTGGACTTGGGGGCGGGGCACGTGTGACCTCCCTGAGACCTCACGGACGGAGTGTTTCTGCGCATTCTGGGGCGAGAGAGAACCTATGCCTCCCCTGCTGGTCTGTGGCCTGGAGGCTGAGGTCACAGGCTGGGGATTCTCAGGGGGCTCTGACCCCACCCAGAAGTCCCCCGCGTGCCGGGGGGAGCCCACAGTGCGTCAGTGGGAGGAGCAGCAGAAACACCTGTCGGGGGCAGCCCGGGTCACTTTCACTTACTTGGTTTTGTTCAAAACCTGATCATTCTTCTAGTCTGTGGCCCCAAGACAGCAAGAATTAGGTCTGTGCGCATCCTTGCCATTGCGTTCTCAGACCGGGTCCGTCGTTTTTGGAAGAATGTGTGAATTCACAAATTGGGTGTCAGTTTTCAGTGGCACTTGGCCGGGAGGGTCCCTTCCCCATCCAGCACCGCCGGCCGCCGGGCCCCGAGGTGTGGTCGGCCCCAGGGCTGGAGATCCCTGGGCAGGCGTGCAGCGGCCGCGAGCTCCTGACCGTCTGTCAGGCGATGGCTGCAGGCCTGCCTGGCTATGGTCACTGCCGCGTGACCCTGATTGGGGGAGGTTTCACGTCGACTGGGGGCTGTGTTGTGCACGCAGAGCCTCCCGCAGGGCTGGCGGCTCTAGCCCAGACCACGGGCACTCTTTGGTCAAGGAGGCACGTTCTTTCTGGTCTGTGAGCGTGGTGAGTGTGTATGTTGTATCCGTCTACGCTGAAATGTTCCCCTCAACCTTCCAGTCGAACGATAACCAGTTCCTCTGGGAGCTCATCGGCGGCCCACCTAAGACGAGGAACATGTCCGCTTGCTGGCAGGACGGCCGGTTCTTCGCGGAAAATGAGACGTGGGTGGTGGACAGCTGCACCAAGTGCACCTGCAAGGTGAGGCGTGGAGACGTTCCTCCTGTCCAGGGGCCTGTGCAGGGTGGCTGCACCCCCAGTCTTCCCTGGTGAGCTGCAGAATGTGTGCAGCTGCCTCAGCAGACCTGGTGTGGGGGCTGTGTGGGCAGCGTCGACCGTAAGTAAGGCTCCAGCCAGCCCCACTGCTCTGCACAAAGGAAACCGAACTCCAGGAGGTGAATGACTGTCCCATGGGGGGCGGGAGGCGGCCGGGGTGGAGACGGCCAGTGCGTGTAACTCCAGGCGGCTCCATGGAGTCCGGCGGGTGTAGGTCACTGCCCACATGGTGATGGTAGGTAACTTAGCCTCTTCCCCTCGGTCAGCGGTCCCTGTTTCCACTGATGGCGGCCTCGGGGTCTGCAGCACGCACAGACCTGGCCCTCCTGCCCGTGGTGGATGGATGGCCCACCTTTACTTCCAGTGTCTGCAATGCCAGGACGAACACAGCCGTCCTCCCGGCCCTTCCCATGCAGCGCTCGCGCCAATGCTTGTTCTTTTAAAGCAGTGTTACATGGACCCCTTTCTCTGCCTGCAGAAATTTAAAACCGTTTGCCACCAAATCACCTGCCCCCCGGCCCCCTGCGCCAGCCCATCTTTTGTGGAAGGAGAGTGCTGTCCATCCTGCTTGCGCTGTAAGTGCACGCGGAGCTTGGGGTGCCGCCCGCTCTCCCGCTCTGAGCCTGAGGCTCTACCTGCGGACTCGCGGCCGGCCCAGGGCCTTGCACTCGGGAGTGGGACAACTGCAAGCTGCCCACTACACGGGGTTAGTTTTATGGTTAAAATGGACAATATTAAAGTAGACCGTGTCCGTGTGAGCGCGTGACGCGCCTTACGAGCACGGCGAGAGATGACAGCACGACCCCGAGAGGCAGGGCCCTTGTCCGACTAGAGGGAGGCGTTCCACGCTGTGGAGAGCGGTCTCCGTGGCCTTATTCTTGTCTGGTTTCCTGCTTTCTGGGACGTTTAATCCTTGCCGGGCACGTGCCCCAAATACGACCGCGGGAAAGCAGTGCGTTTTGCTCTCACCAGACAGATCTCTCGCAGGAAGTTACTGTCTTTCTCTTACTTACAGATTGTAATTCACTCGGCAGACTTCCTTTGCAGGAAATTGCCTTTTCATTTAACTTGTCCTGATTTAAATTATTTGGGACCAAATTTGGTGACCTGTAATTTCAAGCAAATTGGAATATTTCCTTATCATATGTAACTCAGCAGTGGAGGTTAAGATGGAAGCAAACTAAATCTTAGTAAGTCCCATAAAGCTCCGTGTAGACATGATTCTGGACTCTCTCCTGTGAACCATCTTAGGAAACGCATAGACCCCTTCCCCGACACGGATGATGAGCGGGGCCCAGCACGCAGATGGTCGACCCCATGGCCTCTGTGGCACTCTGCGGGCATCCCCATGTGCCCCTCCATCCTGCCTGGGAAGGCAGCCCTGAGCGCCGACCCAGGTGTGGATGTCGGGTCGCTGGGGTGTGCCCCACCGGGCGCCCTGCTCAGGGGAGGGTGTACTCTGCACGCCCGCCTTCCCCAGCACACGGCTTCTGCCTCGCCAGCTCTTCACGGGCCCCCTGTCCCGCGGCCACCCTGGGCAGAGGCTTGACAGGCCCTGTGCTTCCCCTGCAGTGCTGGATAGTGACGAGGGCTGGTCCCCCTGGGCAGAGTGGACCGAGTGCTCCACCAGCTGTGGCTCGGGCACCCAGCAGAGAGGGCGGTCCTGTGACGTCACCAGCAACACCTGCTTGGGGCCGTCCATCCAGACGCGGGCGTGCAGCCTGGGCAAGTGTGACAATCGCAGTGAGTGTCGGGGGGTTGGGTCGGGGGGTGTGGTCAGCGTTGCCAGCCTTTGGGTTTGAGGGCCTGTGGGGATGGGCTGCGTTTCTGGGGCCCCTCGGGCTTGACCGGGGGCTCCTGTGGGATGAGGGTCCTTCCCTTGCTAGTGCTCCCTGCCCCCACGGCTGTGCGTGAGCGAATGCCAGGGCAGCGGCCGCCCTGACGTCCTTGTCCTTGTCCGTGTGCTAGTCCGGCAGGACGGGGGCTGGAGCCACTGGTCGCCTTGGTCGTCCTGCTCAGCGACCTGCGGTGTCGGCAACATCACACGCATCCGGCTCTGCAACTCGCCGGTCCCCCAGATGGGGGGCAAGAACTGCAAAGGGAGTGGCCGCGAGACGAAGGGCTGCCAGGGCGCCCCATGTCCGAGTAGGTGGGGTGAGGCAGGGCGGGAGCGGGTGCTCGAGACAGCGGGAACCTGGGCTCTGGGGCCAGGCCACCCCCACCCGGCGGCAGCAGGACGGGGACGGAGCCCTCGAGGCACCGCCCAACCCTGGCTGGCTCCTTGCTGGAAGTGGGCTTCGGGGTGAATCCGATCGCTTGTGGGCTCTGACCTCGTCTGAGCTCATCCACGATTAAGGGAACATCAGCCAGAACTGTGGGCACTGTCTCCGCGTGCCCTTCTCTGGGGGCCCTGTGGATGGCCCGGAACGGTGGGTCTCAGGGGACGGCTTACGCCGCAGCTAGACCGGGGACCAGGTGCTCGGAGACCTTCCAGAAGCCCCATTCACACCCTGCACGACAGCCCTCGGAAAGGAGAGTGCAGGGAGCTTCCTCTCGCTGCTGAGCTGTCCATTAAAACGAACGTGAACTCTCCCCTGACTAGGCACCCCTGCACCACAGGGCCCGGCTGACGGTCAGCTTCCACTCCCAGTGCCCGTGTGATTTCTCTTCCCAGAGGTGAAAACCACCCTAACCGAAATCCGCCGTCTGCATTACCCCCGAGCTTAGGGCCACGGCACACACTCTTCCCGTTTTCAGCCCTGTGTGGAGCCCCTGCTGCACCCGGCTCTTCCCGCGTAGATCGCCTTCTCCACTGACGCTCTGTGCTTTCTGCTTGCAGTCGACGGCCGGTGGAGCCCGTGGTCCCCGTGGTCAGCCTGCACCGTCACCTGTGCTGGCGGGATCCGGGAGCGCACGCGTGTCTGCAACAGCCCCGCGCCGCAGCACGGGGGCAAGGACTGCGTGGGGGACGTCAAGGAGCATCAGATGTGCAATAAGAGGAGCTGCCCTGTAGGTGGGTGTGCACGCGGGGCAGGCATACAAGCGGTAAAACCAAGAGCAGCACAGCAGGAGGACAGAAAAGAAAGATCGGCTCATGCCCGTGCTGCTGACCGCTCCTGCGCTGTGCTCGTCAGCGTTCCTGTGTAAACACGGGACGCGCACGGTGCAGAAGGGAGAGTCTGCGTGACAACAGCCATTGTGCCCATGTAGCCTTTGTGTCTGTGCCATCCAGGATCTACTCTTGGAGGTGTGACTCTGCAGGCGCCCCCGGCCTCCCTGAGTAGCTCAGTTTCCTGCAGCTGAGCCCCTTGGGGCGTCTTCCCGTGCGTGGCTCAGGGATGGCGAGCCCCAGCTAACCCACCTCTGCGTCCTCCCACACAGATGGCTGCTTGTCCAACCCCTGCTTTCCCGGGGCCCAGTGCAGCAGCTTCCCCGATGGCTCCTGGTCCTGCGGGGCCTGCCCCGTGGGCTTCCTGGGCAATGGCATGCACTGTGAGGACCTGGATGAGGTGGGTGCCCACCCTGGGGGAGGGGCGCCCGCAGAGACGGGGGCGGGGCTCATGCCTGCACATCCCGCAGTGCACTGTGGTCACGGACGTCTGCTTCGCCACGAGCAAAGCCCACCGCTGCGTCAACACCAACCCAGGCTTCCACTGCCTGCCCTGCCCCCCTCGTTACAAAGGGACCCAGCCCTTTGGCGTCGGCCTGGAGGCAGCCAGGACCGAGAAGCAGGTGAGCACCCCGACCCTGTGTGTGCTGCGGAAAGGCTGTAAATCCGTCGGCAAGAGCCCAGGGCACTGGGCAAATGGGGGTGTGGAGGAGAACAGGGGCAGCCTCCCTGGGGCATGCGGAGGGCTGTGGGAGCCTGTCCACCACCCCGATGGGACCAGCGGGAGCGGGGGAGCAGAGCTTGCCTGCAAGGAGCCCGAGGACAGCCCACGATTACCTGTGGGCTTGGGCATCTTGCCGGTGCTGCTCTGGAGCCGCTGGGAAACACCCCCAGGGAGCATCGCTCCGAGTCTCTGGATGCCTGCCCGGCACCTGCTGTCCCTGCAGCACCGAGGGAGGCCCTGCACCCCTGAGCTTGTCCCCGAGCGCCCGCCTCAGACCTTGCACGTGAGGGGTGGAGTCTCCGGGTGTCCTCACCATGTGGCCCTTTACCCGCAGGTGTGTGAGCCTGAAAACCCGTGCAAGGACAAGACCCATGCCTGCCACAGGCACGCGGAATGCATCTACCTGGGGCATTTCAGCGACCCCATGTACAAGTGTGAGTGCCAGACGGGCTACGCGGGCGATGGGCTCATCTGTGGGGAGGACTCAGACCTGGACGGTTGGCCCAACAAGAACCTGGTCTGTGCCACCAACGCCACGTACCACTGCATCAAGGTGAGGTCTGGGGCTCTGGACCCTGCAGGTGCTGACCCCCAGGTGCTGACCCCCAGGGGCTGACCCCAGGTGCTGACCCCGCAGGGGCTGACCCCCAGGGGCTGACCCCCAGGTGCTGACCCCCAGGGGCTGACCCCATAGGTGCTGACCCCCAGGGGCTGACCCCGCAGGTGCTGACCCCGCAGGTGCTGACCCCCAGGGGCTGACCCCTCAGGTTTCATCCTGCAGGTGCCTCCTGCCCCCCACCCATCCAGGCATTCCCATTTGGGGTGGTTGTGGCCGTTTGGACATAACTTATGGGTCTAAACAACTGGGAGCTCTGGGTGGTTCCAGCTGCATCCTCAGTTCCACACGGCTCCCTTTCTTGAGGCGGTAACTTGCTGGAGAGCGCTTGTGTTTCATCACAATTGTGGGACTGGGGGGTCCTGGGTGTGATGGCACCAGGGAGCCCTTTGCTGGCTCCAGGAGTGGCCCGGGTGGGCCTGGTCTGTTTGGAGGCCATCCCGGGGACTTCTGTGGTACACGGGGGAACAGAACTGAAATGCAGCTCAGGTTTGAATTAGAGCATCGTTGGAGTCAAACAAAATGACTCTAATTAGGCCAATTATGCACGTCTGTGAAGAACTCACTGGGGAGATGATTTGGACTCCAGCCTCAGTTTCTGAGTGGGTGTCCACACACGACTTCTGGAGCCTGTGGGCTGGGGAGGGTGCGTGAGCGTGGCTCTCTGTGAGCTGGGTCGGGGGCGGCAAGGGGCCCCGCGGGCTCGGCCCTGCTCCAGGCTTCCCGAGCTGTGGACCCTCCCGCTCCTCGGGTTCTTGCTCTCGTGGGGCAGCTTCACGGGGGTCCTGGGTGAAGGAGCTTCCCTGTCTGGTGGCACCGGCAGCAGGACGGCGTCCCCGCTGAGGACGGCTCCCAACCCGGACGGCACCAGCACTGTGCCCCCTGAGCGGTCTGTAACTCGTGTGCATCCTGTGCTCACAGGACAATTGCCCACTGCTGCCTAATTCTGGGCAGGAAGACTTCGACAAGGACGGCACCGGGGATGCCTGTGACGAAGATGATGACAATGATGGCGTGGACGATGAGAAGGTGGGGCCCGCGAGGCCGCTCTGGCCTCCAGAGTGGGCGGCCGGGGGGGACAACCCCGCCCCAGGCCCTGTACACGTCTGTGGCCCGTATTCCCTCCCATGTGATGCTGCATGGCAGGGCGCAGGCTGTGCGTGACACATGGTGTCCAGCAGTGCGTCGGGCCATGGGCGCTGCGCTGGGACGTCTGCAGTAGTCCAGTGTCTCGATCCGCGCACAGGGCCTGCCCACTCCTGTGGGGGCCAGCGAGGAGCGTGGCCACCCTGCCATGCAGCGTGCGCTTGCCTTTAACGCAACGTGTACCTGCTCGCGCTCTCTGAGGAAGGTGTTGCCGGACGTACGTGATGTCCTGTGCAGCCCAGCCGGACAGGCCACCTGTTCCTGATCATGGCCTCACCCCACCCGACCCCCGCGCCACCGGCTGGTTCATCACACGCCGGCTCACTGGTGCGACGCGACGTACCTGCTCTCACCATGAAGCACACAGCGTGCCGTCTTTGTCACAGGGAGGCAGAGGCACTGGGCTGGGGCTGAGGGGCTCCGTCTGGACGGCGCGACTTGCAGCCCGGCACAGCTCCCACGCAGGTCCTGACTCCTTCCCTTGCGTTTCCGTAGGACAACTGTCAGCTTCTCTTCAACCCCCGCCAATTCGACTACGACAAGGATGAGGTCGGGGACCGCTGTGACAACTGCCCGTATGTGCACAACCCTGCGCAGATAGACACGGACAACAACGGCGAGGGGGACGCGTGCTCCGTGGACATTGACGGAGACGGTCAGTGCTGCTCCTGGCCATAGATGCGGGTTCGCGACTGGCGTGGCATCGTCCTCCCGTGGGCGTGGCGTGAGCTGGCCGCACCTGCGGTGGGCATGAGATCAAACGGTGCTTAGCTGTTCCCGTGGGAGCCAAACCTCACCCCACCCGTCCTTCCTGGGGCCCGTGGGGGCTCGCCCGCCTCAGGACCTCCCTTCATAGAGACGCAGACATGGCATCTTCCTTCTCGTGACTCAGGCCCCTAGTCCCGCGCCCTGTGTCCTTCGCGCTTAACCCCGTCAGAGCCCTAAGAGTGCAGTCCCGTCTCCTCACCAGATCGCGCCTCTGAGACACGTCTGACGGCAGCGCCTGCCTCCCTGTCCGAGGATATCCCCCCCATGCTCTTACTTCTAACAACTCACGAGTCGGCCGTGGCGAAGCTGCCTGCAGGGTCCCCCAGGTCACGTTCCGCCCAAGAGGCTGGTGCCCCGGAAGGGGGCTCTAGTTTAAATTCAGGGGATTTGAACTTTAGTGGGGAGTCTGACATATGTTCTTCCACGAATCCAAAAATATTTACACTTCACCATAATCTTAGATCCTTTTGTGTGAAATAAAAGTTTGGCTGGCAGTTGCTTAGTGCAGTAGGAAAAGCCCTGTGCCTTCCCTGTTTTCCCCTGGAATACCCACAGATGTCTTCAACGAGCGGGACAACTGTCCCTACGTCTACAACACTGACCAGAGAGACACGGACGGGGACGGTGTGGGTGATCACTGTGACAACTGCCCCCTGGTGCACAACCCTGACCAGGTAACCGACGACGTGCGCGATCGGCTGTGTCCACGGGCAGAAGGGGGCCCGGGACCTTATCTGTTGTCGATAGATGTGTCTTTGTGGCTTATCCACCAGCTCTGCCAACGAGTGACAGCAGAGGCTTTTCAGTAATTTTAATTGGAAACATTCTGAACTCAGCGCCTCGCTCTCGTATCTCGGTGGCCACAGGCCAAATGCGTGGGTGCCTGTGCCGCCCTTCCTGAAGGGACTGTGCCTCCTTCGCTTATCTGCCCGTTTCCCTGAAGCAGACGTGGGAGCGGGCTTCTCCTCCAGGTTTGCCTTCGGAAGACACCGAACATAACGCATTGCGGTCGTGCCTGGGCTCTCCTGTCGCAGACGATGTCAGAGAGGCACTTGGTTCTGTGGCGTCCATTCTTTCCAGTCTTCTTTTCGTGATGCGAGCCCATGGAGAGGTCTCGTGGAGGGTGGAGCGTCCCGAAGCCGCCCCCTGACGCCGACAGCTCTCCCCGGGGCTCAGCTGCTCACAGGCACGAGGCGGCCCAGGCCTGCAGCTCGGGCGGGCACTCAGCGTGGGTCCTGCTCTGTCCCCCAGACCGACGTGGACAATGACCTCGTGGGAGACCAGTGTGACAACAATGAGGACATCGATGAGGACGGCCACCAGAACAACCAGGACAACTGCCCCTACATACCCAATGCCAACCAGGCCGACCACGACCACGACGGCCAGGGCGACGCCTGTGACTCGGACGATGACAATGATGGGGTCCCCGATGACAGGGACAACTGCCGGCTGGTGTCCAACCCAGGCCAGGAGGACTCGGACGGTAGGTGCCACGCGGGGAGCGCAGGGTCCAAGTCTGTAGGGGCAGGGGTGCCAGCGCCATAGCTATTGGCCGTCTCTGCAGAGAGGCATCCGTCACAGACGGGATGAGGTGGGCACCTGGCGTCATGACAAGGTTGGGACTTAGTCTTTCGAGGGCAAAGCAAGCAAAAGATAGTGGGTGTGAACTATCAGGAAAAGGGACTGGTTTTCCGGGCAGCTGACCCTACCCAGGGGGCCGCCGGGGCAATTGGGGCCCCAGGGAGGGCCTCCAGTAGATAATGAGGCGCAGGCCGTGCTCGGGGCTTCTGGGGGAGCATGAGAAACTGGCGGCAGGTGTGTGTAGCCCTGGTCGGCCTCCAGGAGCGGAGACGGGGTGTGGGCATCTGAGCCGATGTGACTCACAGGCGCACGGCGACTTGGGATTGAGGGCGGCTCCAGGGTCCCCCCCCGAGCCACGTGGATGATTCCAGCAGGACACGGGAAGCCTGTCTGGACCCACGGTGCTCCGCTCAGGCCGCCCTGTGGGACGTGTGGCGGGGAGGGGCCGGCTCGCCCGGAGCGCGCAGTGCTTTCCAGTGTCCTCATGCACGCGGGCGTGTGCGCCTATGTCCCCCCTGGTGGACACACATTACTGGTTTCCAGGATGTGACAGGAAATTAGCTGAACTTGGTACCTTTTTCTCCTTCTGAAGCAATCGGCTCCCAAATGAGCTAGTTAGAAAGCTGCCATCGGCCTGGGGGTGGTCATGCTTACCGCACATGGGCCGCTGTGGGGGCCGAGGGTCCCCCACGTGCAGCCGGCGGTCTGGGCCCGCCGCGCACCCCCACCCGTTCTACCACCTCACTGACAAGTTGAAAGAAGCTTCCAGAAAAAAGAACCTCCCCAGGGAAAGTCATTTATAGAGTAGGAACTCTGCTGTAGATCCAAAGACCTAGGGCAGGATGCTGAAGAGAGGTCATGATAGAAGTTCGGAAAACTATCAGAAAGCAAAGCTGCAAGTTCAGCTTGGTATTCCAGCCGGCAACCCCCAGGCCCCGTGGCCCAGTGTCGAGTGGGGGCCCTCGGGGCATCGCAGCGAGCGTGCGAGGATGCTTCAGAAAGGCAGATGCCGAACCATCTCTTTGTTTTCTTGTTCTCCTGCTTTTGTCCTGGTGGCAGGGGACGGGCGTGGGGACGCTTGCAAGGACGACTTTGACAATGACAGCGTCCCGGACATCGACGACGTGTGTCCCGAGAACAGTGCCATCAGCGAAACGGACTTCAGGAACTTCCAGATGGTCCACCTGGATCCCAAGGGCACCACTCAGATCGACCCCAACTGGGTCATTCGCCATCAAGGCAAGGAGCTGGTGCAGACGGCCAACTCGGACCCCGGCATTGCTGTTGGTGAGCCTTGGAGATCTGCGCCGTCCTCTGTGGGGGCAAGGTGCCCAGGGAGCACGCGGGGGGCTCGTGCGGGGGATTAGGGAGGTCTCTCGACGAGGGACTGGGGAGTAACTCGTCTGGAATCTCATGTCCAGTACGCCATTTATTGTATGGATTTGGTCTGTGAAATGTTCCACGATACAGTAAAGCTCAGCCAACACTGAACATATCAAATCCCACACTTGTCAGCCACGTCCGGGTGGCAGACCCCAAGGTGAACCTCGTAATATCTGCATCCACTGACCCCGGGCTAATCCCAGCATTTCCCCGAAGGCCGTTTCCGACCGAATCCTACCACCCAATGTTTCCCTGGCACCCAGGCTTTGATGAGTTTGGGTCTGTCGACTTCAGCGGCACATTCTACGTGAACACCGACCGGGACGATGACTACGCCGGCTTCGTGTTCGGCTACCAGTCCAGCAGCCGCTTCTACGTGGTGATGTGGAAGCAGGTCACGCAGACCTACTGGGAGGACCAGCCCACCCGGGCCTACGGCTATTCTGGCGTGTCCCTCAAGGTGGTGAACTCCACCACGGGGACCGGCGAGCACCTGAGGAACGCCCTGTGGCATACTGGGAACACCGAGGGTCAGGTGAGGACGCCCAGGCAGCCGGGCGCCGGGCCCCTTGCACTTGGCCCTGAAGCCACCATGGCTTCTCAAGAGAGCAGGCTTCGCCCCATCCAAAGATGTCCCGTCTGTGTTGTCATCAAGTTTAAATCAAGTTACGCTGGTTTTAACCTTCTTTTATGGAGAATCTACCTGACTAAAGATGCCAGGCCTGGTGCTTTTATAAACCCAATTGATGATTCTCTCGTAAGTTAAACATATTTCTACCGTCTTCTAGAGATAGGGAGAACTGGGTTTTAAGGTTAGGTGTTTTGCCGAAGGCCCCGTGTTGAGGCAGCAGAGGATGGAGACTCTGAGTCCAGGGCTCTTAGCTCAGGACCACACTGCTCCCTGTCAGTGGATTCGAGCCACACCAGAGATTTAGGCCTTGAAACCCGTCAGTCCGGCATGTGGCTGCCAGAGACACAGGGATGGATTGCAGAGTAACGTCTTTGTTTCCCATTCGGTGCTGCGAGGCGTGGTCAAGACTCAAGCACCAACTGGACTCAGGACTGATGTGTTTCCGCAGGTGCGTACATTGTGGCATGACCCCAAAAACATCGGCTGGAAAGACTACACTGCTTACAGGTGGCATCTGACCCACAGACCCAAGACGGGCTACATAAGGTGAGTGTGGCTCAGCGCTGGCTCCTTCCCCCAAGTGACTTCCCCCTGCAGGAGTGTCTTTCCATTGGGAGGCAAGTCTGAACATTAACAGACACATCAGCCAGAGGGATCTCTAACTCACCTGCTGTCCTCCGGTCTCTTCCATTTCACGCTTTCTATCCTGTATCTTCTACTGCACATCACTTATTTTAAAAAAACTACAGAAGAGGAGAAAATCAAACTTGTCTTATTCATGTAACTCGGAGGATGATGAGCATCTTTCCTCCTAATGAATGTTCTGGGCAAGGGACAGAAAGTATACATTATTTTTTAAAAGATTTTATTTATTTATCTGTCAGAGAGACACAGCGAGCAGGGGGAGTGGGAGAGGGAGAAGCCAGGCCTCCCGCTGAGCAGGGAGCCCAATGTGGGGCTCGATCCCAGGACCCTGGGGTCATGACCTGAGCTGAAGGCAGATGCTTAATGATTGAGCCACCCGGGCGTCCCCAGAAAGTGCAAATTAACCGCATCTTTGCAAAATTAACATGGGCTTCATTCAGAGAACAGATTCATAGTTAGTTCTGATATGTGAATGGCTGAATTTAAAACACATCTTCAAATAAAACTTTCACAGATATCAGGCTAACAGTATTTGCTCTTTTGGCATGGCAGCTTTTGTAATTGATTTTGATGAAAACAAATGTGAGTGATTTAAATCGTTTTTTTTTCAAAGTTAAACTTGGCTAGAAAGGGCAGGGCTGGGTTGGGTTCTTCACAGAGGCCAGGACTAGGTGTCCGCAGCGTGAATGAGTGAACCAGGGCGGGGAAAGCACAGGCTCGCTGTTGGGCGGGTCTTTCCTCTCCCACGGGTCGCCCTCCCGTCGGGGAGGAGTTGGTGCTCGCAGTCCTGCTTTGGGCACTAGGGTGGCGTCCCATCTTGTCATCATGCAGTTCCAGACTAGTGGGTGGGTGCAGGTGAGTGCGTGGCTTCGACACCATGTGCAGGCCATGGGGGGGGGGTTGGGCACCAGGCAGAGGGGCCTGGAAATGATCCTCCCTCCACTGGGCGGCTGTCTGGCTCTCAGAGCTCGGGACGGAGGGCTCTCCGACTGTGGCTGAGGGGCCAGTTGTGGGGAGTGGGGGGTCTTGGAGCCGTGACCTGTTGCTGCTGGCTGGCTACGTGAGGTGAGAGCTGACCTCCCAGCCCCCGGCATTCACACCCCCTTTCTTTCTCCTGCACCCTGTTTTCAGAGTCTTAGTGCATGAAGGAAAGCAGGTCATGGCGGACTCAGGACCAATCTACGACCAAACCTACGCTGGCGGGCGGCTGGGTCTGTTTGTCTTCTCTCAAGAAATGGTCTATTTCTCGGACCTGAAATATGAATGCAGAGGTGGGTGAGAACACCATTGTGTGGGCGGCACAGAGAATGGGGAAGGGACATGCATTTTAACTTTCCTTTTATTAAAACAGCACATTAGGGCAATAAGCAACTCTTGTGTTTGGTCAGCTTGTTTTTGTTTGTTTGTTTCATTATCTGTTTGTTTTAAATTGAATGTGAATTCCTTTGGTAGAACAAACACTGTCCAATGATTCACAGGCTCTGCCTATTCACATTGTGCTCTCTCCTTTAGCTGTGTACATTCTGTATACCTTCTGGACCTCTAACAGCATTTTGGATTGCTACCTTTGCTAAGAAAGGGAAGGAAGGAAGGAAGGGAGGAAGGGAGGGGAACAGGAGGGAGTAAAGAAGCAAGCAGGAAGGGGGATCTCTGCAGTTATCTCTTGAGGAATGTATTTGAATCACAATATTGCAGACCTGGAAGGCTGCTCCCATCTGGTCTGACCCCATACCTTCATGAGCGCTGAAGATATCCCCTCCTACTCATGAGGTCAGTGAGGCTCCGAGGTACCTCTCAACAATCACACACTGAAAATTACACATAAAGAGAGAAAGGGAACATGAGAACGTTGCTTCTGGTGATGTGATTTTTTTTCCCCGTCTGTTGGGTTGTCTTTCAGGACATGACACGTTCCCTTCCTTCTTTCCAACCATTCATACATCCGTCCATATTGTGGATTTTTTAAAAACTTAAGATGATGTTTTAGGTTACAGGTAGAACAAAATAAAAGAAAACAAAACCCGTGGTCCAGCCGTCCTAATTCCGCTTATTGTTTTTTTATTTTTGTAGATGTCTAAGCAAGACTTGCTGTGCTTCCAGGGACGTACTGTAGACGCTGTTACCTAGACCCCACCGTGTGCTGGTGCTTCCAGCTTCTCTGTCTTTAGCAGCAGCTCCTGTCCTTGACCTTGACGTTGAGGGTCATTCACCATCATCGACCCCGAGCCCAAGTGCCTTCAGAGGATCAGTGTCAGTGGACATCCAGCCCACTACAAGAAGGCAGCTTGATGATGCACAAGACTTTCTGTGCAGTGACAACTGAGCATGGCATTACATCGTTTTTTATCTTGTTTGTTTAAAAAGAATGAATGACGTTTACATAAAATGTAATTACTTATTGTATTTATGTGTATATGGAGTTGAAGGGAATATTGTGCGCAAGCCATTATCATAAATTAAGCAGGAAAAATATTGCTCCGCGACTTTCAGTGCTTGAAGCCATTTCCGTTCCTGGGTTAGAGCTGTTCTGCGCTAGCAGGGGTCCCGTTCTGTCGACCCCAGAGACGGGACCGCTGGAGTATGAAGTGCCCTGGGGGCAGAGAGGGCAGGAGACCAGTCACACGTGTGGGGAGCCAGCCCTCTAATCGGCTCATTAGCAATAATGACGAGAACAAATGGAAGCCCCTTCCCCCACGCCCCTGCCCACTGCGTACTTGGCAGAGCTGTAACTGAGGGGGGCCCGCCTGCAAAGCGGCACTAGCATGGGTCCTGATGTGGGCCCGGCAAAGCCTCCTGTAGGGCAGCTGACCACTCCAACCCCACAGGCTGGAGGGGACGCCTGCCGGCTGTCCCTTGATTTTGCTTTCTCATTGCCGGATTCCTGCTCAAGCTTCCTTGCCAATCTCTGCTACTGGAGAGCAGACCAGCAGACGAACACATCCGCAAACGCACCTTAGCGTCTAATTCTATTCTAGGCTTTGAAACGATGCCAAAGTGTCTTAGCTAATCTGGCAGCACTTTTCACCAAGGTTCCAGTTAAAAACTGTTTTGTTAATATTTATTAAATGACTGTAGATGCAGCTTCATTCACCAATAACTTATTTTAAATATGCCAAGTTACACATGTCGCACAGTTACTCAGAATAAACATATAACGCATATATGATAATATAAAGATACAGTTACAACAAAATACCTTCCTGTCAAGATACAAGCTTTACAGTAGTATGTTGTCATGATAAAGCACGCTAAAAATGGAGGGGAATAGGTCAGTGATTGTGAAGAGTTTATAATGGAACCTTAATTGATACTGTTGCCAGTAACTGTAATTCGGTCTTTTTTCCCGTTGCCTACCTGCTGTACATAGGATTTAAGACTTTGAATGCTGAAGAAAAATCAGCATAAGCCTTGCCAGACACACCCATTAATCAGTCATACAGTAATAGACACAAGTTTGCGTGTGTTTGTTTTTTGCCTTAAATTGCATGATCCTCCTACAGGAAATATTAATCTCACTCCACTTAAGGGGTTTAAGAAGAGAAGTTTGTCTTGTCTGAGGCGGGCAAATCTTTCTCCCCTTTCTGTTGATGGTAATCTCATGTTTATGTAAAGCAGAGAGGATCCATAACTTTTGTCTTAACTTGCACATTTCATTTGATAAAGTTATGTTTGTTGCTTCCTTCGAGGGTGATTTTTTGTTTTGCTGCACTTTTCTGTAGAGCCGTGTCCCCAGGACAGCAGGGTGTGGGAGATCGGACTAAATGTAACGGTCGTGGAGACGGCGGAGGTTTCTGTGTTGGTGTCCCTTAGCCGAGCAACACAGTTCTGTGGGATGATGATGTGAATATTTAGAATGTACCATAGTTTTTTGGTAAATTATTTATGTTTTTTTGAACAAGCTTCTCTTCCAGATTGATGAAACTTCATTTGTTCTGCCAAAGACTGTAAATACTTATTTATTTGTTTACATGGTCAACATTTCACCACTGAAACCCTGCATTTAGCTAGAGCCTCATTTTTATACTTTAAGGATTAATAACAGGAAATAAATTGTACAAAGGTTTTCTATAAATGAATCTCTCTCCCTTTTTTAAAAAGAAGTAGCAGAGTTTCTATTGGGGGGAAGGGAGACAAACCCCAACAGGGAAGCTTTGAGCTCGTTTGGTTGCAGGTCTTCCCGCTGCCTTTCTGAGGTGAAGGTGTAGGTTTGGGGTCCTCGTGGAGAAAGCAGCTCCATTTAGGGCCGACCTCATGGGTTCCATCGGCCACCAGAGCTGAGCATGACGCAGTCATCAGGCGCCCCTTCCCCCTGAGGCTCCTCCAGCAAACGGGAGAAGAGGTGCGCAGTGGGTTTTGGCCAGCATCACTGAGGTGATTCAGGGGAACGTTACCACACAGGAACCCCCCACTAATGCAGCTGTATTTCTCTGAGCTGTCCCCGATCCAAACAGAGACAGAGGAGTGCACATCAAATCCACAGACACACACAAGCCGCCCCCCGTCGCAGGAGGTGTGGGGTTTCCGAGCATTATGGTCGAGTCAGACGGGGAAAGATGGGGAAACACGCATGTTGGAGCAAGAAGATGCAGGACAGGCCGTCTGGGGGGTGAAATGGTGACATAAATGTGGAGGGAGAGACTGGGTCTTTGTACATCCAACAGGAAGCCTTTGAACAATTTAGAAAGAAATCAATGAGGGAAGTGATTTTGGTTGTAGGTGATGTTGGAGGGAGCTTAATGCACATTTTACTCGAGAAATAAAAGCGACACGTTTTGTACTGATGCTTAAGAGGCAGGCATGAGGCTGAGATATGTTTCTGCCCACGTTCATTTTTTTGTGATTTATGGTAGAAGTCTGTGACGGGCTGGGGGCTCCCTGTCCATGGCCCCCGGGGCCGGCCCCTCCCAGGACTGACTGTGTCTGTGACCGACAGGAACGAGGCATCGCTGGAACGGGACACGTTACCCAGGCGCAGTGAGCGCTAAGAGCTGGGCACGCCGCGAGCACACACCCCTGCCACGGGCCACCGGTTGATGAGGTAGTGGACATTCTGATTCCCAGGGATCTGGAATGGGGTCCATAATCACCAGGGGGAGACGGTTCCGGGACAGAGTCCTGGCCTTGCACCATCACCGGCCGCTCTCACTGTAGGTTCAGTGGGGGTCCCTCCCCAAGGTTCCTGTGGGTTTTGACATCTCAGGCAGGTCTTACTCAGTCTGGGTTCCACAAAGTCGAATTTTGGCCCTGGCAGCAGAATGGGACTGGGGCTTGCAGAGAAACCCACACCACCGCGGCCCTGGCCCCGTGGCCCACCGTGAAGCAGAAACCCAGTATCTGCCGAGCACGTTCTGGGAAGGACGGAAACACCCTCCAACTGATCGGACTGGGCCACAGCCTGGAATGCCAGTCGGGGAGGGAAGAACTCAGACTTCTGGGGAAGGCCGAGCCTGGCTGAGCCTCTTCCCAGGGGAGGGACGCGGGGGGCAGGGGCTGGGGTGAGTTCCAGGCCGGGGTCAGCCAGTGTCAGCACAGCGAGGGGAAGCTGGTGGGCACTCCTGCCAAGACGTCTGGGCCCTGAGCTGCCAAGTGTCAGCCCGCAGCCCCTAGCTGATCCTCACTGTCCTTGCACAACATGGGCGGCCCGGCCCTGGGTGGTCAGGGGGCCTGGTAGCTGCAGGCTGGTCTCATGGCCCGGTTTCCACTCACGTCTCCTGACACAAGACCACCTGAAAACTCTTACCACTTTTCAGACATTGCTTTCTCCATAGAACGGCTGTTTCACCCCAAACACATCAAATGCATTGTGAGAAGTGACATTTTGACACCCCAGCGTCCGGCAGACACCTCGGCATCTGGAGCAGTTAGGTCACATGCCCGCGTGTGGGTGGATGCGGGACAGTGTTGGGACCAGCTGCCCAGGAGGAGTGAGGAGGAGAAGGGCTCCCCCCAGCCCCCAGCCATGTCTGCCCACCTGTCCGCATGGCCCCCCGGGACAGAGTGGGACTCAGCCTTCCCTCTGCCCTGGAGAGTTTTCTCTCTGCTATAACTTTATGTTAAAAGGACAGTCTGACTGCAAGTTAACTGTGAGCATCCAAAGGGTTTTGGAAAAAAAAAATTGAGTAGAAAGAAAAATTGTTCATATAATAAAACTTGGTTACACTTTATTTTATATGGTATTTATTTACCTTCGGATTGTTGTTTCTTATTTATATAAATTAGTTTTGTTGTTCTGTGGATTTATTTTCTTATTTGTGAAGATTGCTTAGTTAGTCTGGGTTGGGAAAGAATGCATTTAATCTTTCCCACTTAAAAATGGAATTATTTTTCTTTTTATTTTATTTTTTATTTATTTTTTTTTAGGTTTTTTTTTTTTATTTGTTGAGAGAGAGAGAGAATGGTAGAGAGAGAGCATGAGAGGGAAGAAGGTCAGAGGGAGAAGCAGACTCCCTGCTAAGCAGGGAGCCCGATGCGGGACTCGATCCTGGGAACTCCAGGATCATGACCTGAGCCGAAGGCAGTCGCTTAACCAACTGAGCCACCCAGGCACCCTATTTTTCTTTTTAATATGGTTTCAGGAACACATTACATTGCTAAACAAGATATATATTAAATGTGTTACTATATGTTTAATGTGGAATATTTAAAGCCATGTATTTAAGGTTGTACTTAATATTATGCACACACTTCACACCCACCTCATGAAGACACAGCCTCTCCGTTACGGATGATCTCCTCAGAAGTTGCTATCCTGCAGATAAGAATCACTGCACTCAGGAAGAGATTTTCAGCTACTCTGGAGGGAGGAGGCAGGAGATTCACATCAGGAGGATTCCATCAGATTTTGGAGTTTCTTTCTGTGTTTGGGGAGACTCTGCACAAGGGAACAAGGAAGCATGCCCCAACGGCCTATCCTGGCACCTAGACAGCTGACCAAGTTTGGGCTGTTGCATGTCATTTGCTAAAGGATATGATATCTGCCATCCAGAAATCCATTGCTAGAATGCCACAATATCTCATTTAAAGGACTTCTTAGATAATTTCTTTGTTTTAAATTCCCAGGATCTTTCTTTTCTGGTGGTATATTTTTCAGAGATTAAAAAAGTGGGAGTACACCTTAAATTTTTATTTATTTGAGAGAGAGAGAGACAGAGCATGAGCAGGGGGAGCGGCAGAGGGAGAAGCAGGCTCTCCACTGAGCAGGGAGCCCGATGCGGAACTCGATCCCAGGACCCTGGGATCATGACCTGAGCTGAAGGCAGACGCTTAACTACTGAGCCACCCAGGCACCCCTGTGATATTTATTGTTTAATTAGAAGATCCGTTGCTGTGGAAAGCTGTATGGCGGTTCTTTAAAAAGTTAAACAGAGTTACCATGTGACCCCGCAAGTCCGCTCCTAGACACACACCCCAAAGACCTAGAAACAGAAACTCAGACAAATACTCATCCCCAGGGGACCCCTGCTCGGCGGGGAGCCTGCTTCTCTCTCTCCCACTGACCCTCCCCCACTCATGCTCTCTCTCTCTCTCAAATAAATACATAAAATCTTTTAAAAAATACTTGTTTTTCCTAGCACCATTTATTGAAGAGACTGTCTTTTTTCCATTGTGTATTCTTTCCTGCTTTGTCAAAGATGAGTTGACCACAGAGTTGAGGGTCCATTTCTGGGCTCTCGATTCTGTTCCATTGGTCTATGTGTCTG